TCAAATAACAACTTATCTTTTGTTAAATTTCATTTAAATGCATTATTTTATTATGTAAGTACATGATTTTTACTAACATAGGTTTTGTTTAAGCTGTCCAAGCATTTGATTTACCCTCAGCTGCCCAAACATAATTTATCCTCATTTTTATAATGACTTTATCATTATTACTATTATTTATCAGAGCACTGCAGTAGATGTCACAGCTCTTACTGATGCTGTATGTGAACAAACTTTACTTCAAATTTATTTTTTCTAAAAACCATCTGATAAAGCCCAGAATAAATGAAACTATTTCTTGAGAATATTAATTAGAATAATGAGACTAAGTACTTTGACATTTCATGCTTTAGAATGTGAAAACATATCTAGAATAAGTGGTGAAACAAGTATGCGACTCCTTTTGTAAGTCTGATTGTTTATTAGTTAACAAAACTTTAAAGATATCGGCTTTTGAAAAACATTTCAAAACAACAAATACATTTGGCCTCTTGGCTGATGTGCTTTTCTAATGATATACCCACATGAAGATGCTAGCAACCTTCACTTCTTTACACAACCCCTATACGGCCTTGCCAATCTTGTTTACTGACCTTCGGTGACCTTGCCATCCAAATCACCGGTTTCTCTGCTTATATAACACAACACCCACTGTTCTCATCCTATTTCCAAACCACCCGCCCATCCATACGCGTTGTCATGGAGAGCTAACAACCCAATTAATGTAGCTTGCCTTGTTGCGGCGGCGAGGTGAGCGGAGCCTATTATTTAGCCTTCTCCGCAAAAACCTGTGCTCGAGCTGCGGCACAGATGGTGGTGGTGATGATGCCGCCGTAATCCCCCCTTAAGAATTGCACGCTTTACAAACAGCGAGACAAGCAGCGGGCCCCCCAACCTCGGAATCGCGTCAAACACTTCTAAATCAGGCCTTGTTTATCGTGGCTGTTTCAGGGGGCGGAGGCTGTAATTATTGCAAACATGAGCAAACACGCAAATAGAAATGGATTTCACAGATCTAAGTGATTGGAAGGGATGCGTGAGGCAGTTAGGATCATTAGTGTTGAGGAACGATGGAGGGTTTATTATTGAAGATGAGGTCTTGGTTGTTATCTTGTTTTGAGAGAACAGTCCAAACCTGTACTCAGTAAACAGGAGGAGGTGTGTGTGTGTGTGTGTGTGTGTGTGTGTGTGTGTGTCTGGTGATAGTGTCATATATTGTTGTACTGTATGCAATTTCTCCCGTGTGATCAATAAAGTCTTTCTTATCTTATCCTTTGTGTGTAGGAGTACGTTGTTATGTGTGTTTTTTATTGTACTAAAACATGGTACTGAAACAAATACTTTAATGTATTTCTGAAAGTTCCCCACTTTTGGATAAATGAAGGTTCTCTTAACAGATCTTATTAGCTACATATGATGGATGGATTGATGAGGTTGTGGAGTTTCGTTGCAACTAAATTGACCAAAATCCTTTGAGACATGAGCAGTATCACCAAGAAATGTTCACCCACAAGAAGGTAAATGTGTGTGTGTAAATGTGTGTGTGAGGAAAAATATGGCATAATCATCCCTGGAGCCAGCTGGAAAGTTCTGCTGAAATGTCCACACAATGTTAGCCTGGTCGTACCACACCACCACACCAGACCAAGGTCTGGATTTGCTCCATTCACCATTGAGAGTTTACTTGTTGGTTCTGTGTCTGTGTGGTTTGGAAACATCACAGATAAAGAAAAGAGAGCTTTAAACAAGGTGCTCCGCTCTGCAAAGAGGACCGTGGGCTGTGAGCTTCCTGTTCTGGAGGTTCTTTATAAATCCAGACTTTTAAACAAAGCTCTTAGGATTGTTAATGACTCTTCTGGCCACCCTGGGAAAGCCATGTTCCAGCTTCTTCCCTCTGGCAGAAGATATCGCTCTCTGAGATGCAGGACATCTCGTTACGCTAACAGTTTTTATCCACAGGCTGTTATCAGTGTGAACAGAGCACTTTAATGATTTGCACTTGTTTTGAACTGTTTTAGTCGATCCATTTCACAGTGACATTTGTTTACTGTTTTATTTGTTTTATTTCTGTCTTTTAATGTTGTTTTATGTCTGTATTTGTCTGTGCACACTGGAGACTTTTGCTAATGTATTCCAATGTGGTTTTTTTTACTGCAAATGGCAAATAAACTGAATCTGAATCCGTTAACAGGTGGGAGGGGCTAACTCCTTTTGCAGATTGAAACCAGTGACGTATGTAATGAGCCCGAGTCTGTTGTTAGCATTTAGCATTTAGCCTAGCCATCTCCTTTGCCGCTAACGGAGCCCGTGGGGAGTAGCGCCATAACTTTTCCAGCGACTAAGATTTGTTTCAATCCAAGCTGCTGTTCTCATTTTGTTCATAGAAAAAAAGTTGAAATGATAATGCTAAGCTATATGACTTTCCACAAATACTTGATTCCTAGTTTTCCTGTTTGTGTCTCTTTGTTTTACAAGCACAAGCCTTTACATTTAGATAAGATAAGATAGACTTTATTGATCTCACACAGGAGAAATATGTCACATCTGGCATGGATAGAAACACTCAAGATTGTGCAAAAAGATAGAAATGTGCTAAATGCAGGATTTATTATGTACAATAAAAAGGCAATTAAGAAACAGTGTCAATAGTAGTGCAGGGTTTGTTTTCTTTCTTTTATTTATTTCTACTATTATTAAAGAATGAGCTTGAAGATTTTCCATTATTCTCATTCATACATTCATTCAGCGGTAGATTTATCAACCCAACTGTGTAAAATTGGTTACTTTTATATTTACTTGTGCGTCATAGATATTTTTTCTCCAGCGTTAATGCATTTTGCACAAACAGGTGATAAATAGGAGGTGCTCATTCTTTCTTAGTGGAGTTTGCATGTTCTCCCTGTGTCTGTATAGATTTTTCTCCGGGGGCTCCTCGTCTGAGAGTTTTGAATGGTGTGTCTATTTTCACAAACACCTCGTTTTCTCAGCTTTTTGTCTGCTGATTTCATTTAAACTTCTTCTACTTACAGGAGAATGAGAAAAAACAGAAACACACTTCTTTTTGCTGATGAAAATAGACATTCCAGTCTTTCAGAATTTGCTTTTCACAAAGTCATAGTACACAATATTCTGTGGGTCTTGATAATCAGTGAAAATCCTCAAAAACGGCAGGCAGGCAATGAGTTAATGTGATCCAGACTTGGCCTAGGGCGGCCCAGTGGCTGATTGAAAAGAACTTTCACTCCTCAGCGAGAAGGTCCTGGGTTCGAGTCTCCTGCAGAACAGGGCATTTCTGAATGGAATATGCATGTTCTCCCCGTAGATGGGTAGGTTTCCTCAGGGTGCTCAGGTTTCCCCTACCATTAAAATCACATATAATAGGCAAAATCCTGTGCAAGTCAGGCATCAACATCTGGTGAAGGGGCCCGGGCGCTGCACTACGGTGACCACTGCTCCTGACAGAGGCCCTAGTATTATTGAATGAATGATGAACTTCCCCATGGGGACAATTAAGTAATTAAATAAGTCAGTAAAGTTAAAAACAAGATGTCACACAAACATTAGTTCCCCCGAATATGATTGACTTTTTTCCACATCTACATTATACTTTACTTGAGTGATGGGAATTTTTAGTCACTGTTTTTAGAACGTACACAAGAGTTGAACCGCTTTGCCTCTGTCTGTGCTGCTGCAGATTTGACTTGCATGGACAAAAACAAAAAGTTAAAAACAACCACCTACTCACTGGGGAAAGCTGAAAGATAATTGACAAATTTCTAGCCGCAAAATGAAAGCCATTGTTTGCTTGTGTCTGTCTCTTGGATTTTGATGTATTGCCAGAACATTGCACCAAAAGCATGTAGCTGTTGTTTCCCCCCTCTTTCTTTGGCAGGTATTTGAGGACTCTTTCCCAATTTGCCACACAACAATAGTAACACAAGGAAATGGATTTGAAGAGTGACGTGTTGACATTTCATTTGCGCGGATCAGTCAAAATGAGCCACATGATGCATGCTCAGGCAGGAATGACAGGCAAAAAGTACATTTGAATTTTACAAGCCACTGTATTAAACCGAAAGCTTTGTTCAGCATCATACATTGAATTGCAAACTAATAGATGATTGATGGGCCATATGTTAAAGGAGATATTGTGCTTTTTAGTGAGCATCTAGAAGCTTTTTCCCACTCTGGACCCACGTTTTTTCCACACCGACCCAGGCCAAGAGGAGAGGATAGGGAAACTCTGACCAATGGTTGAATCTCAGATTCAGAAGTGAACAAAGTAGTTTTCGCCCCGGCCGCAGAACACTGGAACCAGCTCAATACACTCCATTGGATGTTCGAGGGATCATGGGAGTTCGCCAAACCAGTTCACAAGTGCTTTGTGGTTCCAACATGTTCCTCAAGGCGTCCTTTGGAGGGGTTCTCAGGGAGTACTAGTTCTAGGCCCTGTGCTGAGGGCTGTCCAATCCCAGTCAGACCTGTTCTCGGTGCATGTTGGCCTCCGCCAAGCCCCAGTAACCCAAGATTGTCCTATTCAAATCAGTGGCTTGTGCTTGATTTGGGGATCACAGGATTTCATCTCTGCTGTTTGCAAACAACATTGTCCTATTGGCTCCAACAAACCATGACCTTCAGCATGCACTGGGAAGTGTGACGTGGCTGGGATGAAGATCAGATGAACATCAGCTCGACCGGAAAAAGGTCGAGGTGGTTGGAGAGGTTTTTCCTTAAGTGGAGGAGGTGAAGTATCTTGGGGTATTGTTCACGAGGGAGGAAAGGATGAAGCGTGAGATTGACAGACAGATCGGTGTAGCATGTGCAGTGGTTTGGTTGCTGAATCGGACCGTTGTGATGAAGGGAACGTAAATCTCTTGATTTACCGGTCAATCTACGTTCCCAACTTCACCTCTTTCCCATTATCTGTTTCATAGCGCAACGGGACCCCTAAACCTGGCCCCCTCTGTCTGCACCTGCGGACTGCACTCCCGACCCGCCTTATGGACCGCACTCCCGACCCGCCTTATGGACCGCACTCCCGACCCGCCTTATGGACCGCACTCCCGACCCGCCTTATGGACCGCACTCCCGACCCGCCTTATGGACCGCACTCCCGACCCGCCTTATGGACCGCACTCCCGACCCGCCTTATGGACCGCACTCCCGACCCGCCTTATGGACCGCACTCCCGACCCGCCTTATGGACCGCACTCCCGACCCGCCTTATGGACCGCACTCCCGACCTGCCTGGGAGTCCTGCGCCACACCAGTCCTCGGTCTACAACCGCTTCATGGCCTGTACTCGTTCTGTAGCTTAGGTCTTGGATGTATAGCTCATTCGTCCGTGTGGAGCAAATCTCTCTCTCTCAATGTGGACCTCCCCAAGGTTTCTCAATTTTCTCCCGCTGGGTTTTGGAGTTTTTCCTTGTCGATGCAGCAAGGTCTGTTAGACTGTTAGCGGGTCTAACAAGAAGGGCTGTGGTGATGATCCAGTACACTACATTCTCCAATATTTATAGATATTTATCAACATTCATGGACTCCCCCTATGGACCAATACCTGTGTTCTATATTTTTTGTGTTTGATTCTCTGATCTGTGCTAACAATTTCAACAATGTTGTTAAGTCCTCTGAGATAACTAGTGTTGGAGGGCTTGAATTGAATCTCTGGTCATGAGCATTAGGTCATGAACAAAAGCGCAAGACTGCAGATACAAGCGGTCAAAATGAGCTTCCATTTAAACAAAAGAAAAAAATCTAATATTTTACTACATTGAAAAAGAAATCCCAAACATTTAGCCGTTTTAGCTTAATTCTGTTCCTCTCCAGACCAGCTCAGTAGCCTTCTATGAACTATTTTTGTCTACATTCTCCTCTTCCACTTTCACAAAGGCAGGAGCTTTGGAGGTGAATGAGCCGTTTTGTGCTAATAGCTAATTGACCTCCTGCTGTTACTCAGAGTGTGCTGCTAATATTAGAGCTGCCCAGTGCCCAGTGGTGAGGAGAGTCCTGTGAGTCCTCCCAAACCAAGCCACGGCTTACTGCACACCACCAGTCACACACACCAGTTTTTTGTGATAGAGTTCGGGCAAGGCTGGCCCTTCATGTGATTAAAAGAACTATATATCTATAAAAAAAAAATCATTTTGGACCAATACGGATCCTGACATCCGAGAGTATTGGACAAAATAGTGTTTTTAACTGCTGTTAATACGGCTAATACCTACAGAATTTTGTTTGGAGGAAAGTTAAAATGCTATGACATTCTGGGTTAAAGAATGTCCCATGTGAAAAGCCAGATACTGACAGAACTCAGAAGCCAAACAGGGCAGGGCCTGATTATTACTATGATGGGAGACCTCTGCTAACACCACGTGCCACAGTGGGGCGGCTGTGGCTGTAAAGTGCCAAACTGCTGTTGTGTACTTAGGCAAGACACTTCACCCGCCGTGGCCTAGAACTGAGTCCGAAGGGACATGCTGTTCGTCCCAAAAGAAAGAGTCCTGTGAAAGTGAAATGCTGTGAACAGATCAGTCTGCAACATACAGTTTAATCTGTGAGTCACTATATTACTCTTTGGGCGTCTCGTTTTCTCTTTTCTGTCTGAAAAAGCTGATTTAAAGATGTGACAGAGGCACGAGGAAATAGTTATAAGAATTTCATGACGGTAAGTTAAGATTATTCTGTTGCAAAAAATAATTTTACATTGGAGACATGGGGAGGCTGCGTTTCAGATTCATGCAGCTAGAGTCTGGAACCGTCTTCCCGAGAATGTGAGACAGGCGTCTACTCTAGCAGTTTTTAAAACTGAACTGAAAACAGTTCTTTTTAGCTGTGCATACAAGTGAATGATTTTATATTTTTTTTATCTTTAATCTTTTTAATGCGCTATGACTATTTATGATTGTAATCCCTTGTGTGATTTTAATGTTTTACGGTTTTTAACTACTTGTGTGATTTTATATATCTTGTGCTCTTAATCTGTCTTTTTATGTTTACTTAAATTCTAATGTTTGATGATTTATGCATGATGTTATATGGGTTGTGAGGCGCTTTGCGTTGCCTTGTGTAGGAAAGGCGCTCTACAAATAAACGTTGATTGATTGATTGATACATTTCAAAATAAAGATTCATGTCAAGATCGTCTTTTAGGGACAAAATGAAGACAATTAATAGATCCTATTTACTTCAACTCAACACTTTAATCTCAGTCCAATTTGAAGCTGTAAGAATAGTGCATATCAATTCTATCAAGCTCCATATCCTCCTGACACCTCACCTCACTATAACATTAAAATAAAATAAAGCTTATACACGGGAGCACATTAGCCTGAACGTGGCTTTCCACACAAACATATTTTCATTTGAGTCTGCACTGGCTTTGATGTGAGCGAGGGCTTGTAATGGAGTACTCCACTCATTATGTCTCCTATAAAGATTATTATTAAAGTTACACATTATGCATTACTCAGGGAAAATGTGCTGACGGGATTCCAAATCAAAACTTAAAACTTAAAAAACTGTAATTTTTACAGCTGCTCCATATGAAAAAACATAATAACAAATGTGACCTTTTTAAGAATATTTACCTCCACCATGTTTTTTTAATTGTATTCATAGGCTCAGAATTTAACTTATAAATGTCCGTAAGAGCGGAGTCCCCTCGGTGTCAATGCGCCATCTTACAATACAGTGTTGGATAAAGGACGAAAGGATGAGAGAATCACGTTTTCGTTTCAAATGAGCTACTGATATAGTTGCTTTCACAAGTTGGAAGAAGGAACCATGGAGGACCAGTTATATAAAAGAACCACAGAGGACCACAGTTATATAAAAGAACCACAGGGGACCACAGTTATATAAAAGAACCACAGAGGACCACAGTTATATAAAAGAACCACAGGGGACCACAGTTATATAAAAGAACCACAGGGGACCACAGTTATATAAAAGAACCATGGAGGACCACAGTTATATAAAAGAACCATGGAGGACCACAGTTATGTGAAAGAACCATGGAGGACCACAGTTATATAAAAGAACCATGGAGGACCACAGTTATGTGAAAGAACCATGGAGGACCACAGTTATGTGAAAGAACCATGGAGGACCACAGTTATATAAAAGAACCATGGAGGACCACAGTTATGTAAAAGAACCATGGAGGACCACAGTTATATAAAAGAACCATGGAGGACCACAGTTATATAAAAGAACCATGGAGGACCACAGTTATATAAAAGAACCATGGAGGACCACAGTTATATAAAAGAACCACAGAGGACCACAGTTATATAAAAGAACCACAGGGGACCACAGTTATATAAAAGAACCACAGAGGACCACAGTTATGTAAAAGAACCACAGAAGACCACAGTTATATAAAAGAACCACAGAGGACCACAGTTATATAAAAGAACCACAGAAGACCACAGTTATATAAAAGAACCATGGAGGACCACAGTTATATAAAAGAACCACAGAGGACCACAGTTATATAAAAGAACCACAGAAGACCACAGTTATATAAAAGAACCATGGAGGACCACAGTTATATAAAAGAACCACAGAAGACCACAGTTATATAAAAGAACCACAGAGGACCACAGTTATATAAAAGAACCATGGAGGACCACAGTTATATAAAAGAACCACAGAAGACCACAGTTATATAAAAGAACCATGGAGGACCACAGTTATATAAAAGAACCACAGGAGACCACAGTTATATAAAAGAACCATGGAGGACCACAGTTATATAAAAGAACCACAGAAGACCACAGTTATGTAAAAGAACAATCCGAACAACAATCTTTTCGAAAAATAATTATGCAAAAGTCCGGCGTCATAGCAACAACGTTTCAACATCACAAACCACACACACAAAGACAGCGTTAACACAACATGAGGCACATTGTGTAGTTTGTACACAACAGACTCACACGTGAACAATAATAAACTTTTCCACACTGATAATAAAGAGAACGAGGCAGAATCTGCGACACAGTCTCAGGATGTTCTGACCCGGTCCAAGCACAGTCCAATTACTATGTTAGTTTCAACTAAACTTATTCAGGGACAAGCCTCAAATATGCAAAACACAGAATCCCCACAAAACAATTGGCAGAATACTTTATCAGCAGCGTGAGAGAATGTTGTTTTCTTACCTGGTGATGCAGACGGGGCGCTGTGGCTAATGCTAATGCTAACATGAGCTAATGCTAATGCAGTGGCTAACGCTAATGCTAACATGAGCTAATGCTAATGTTGGTGCTAACGCTAATGCTAACATGAGCTAATGCTAATGCTGTGGCTAACGCTAATGCTAACATGAGCTTTAGCCATTTCCTGCCACAGCTGTTTATATCTCCTGCTTCTTTGATTATTGTAGTTTTAAGCTCCCACAGACGTTTTCCCTCCGGAGAGTCTCTTCTCTTCACACCGCGTTTGTAAAACAATATATTCATGATAAAACTCAGCGCAGCCTCTGTGCAGCGGGTGCCGCTTCAGAACGCTTCAGAATGTCGCCTGCACGCGATTGTGTCAAGTGCCCTAGACGTTTGGAGAGATCCGATCATTTATCAAACTAAAGTGTTCTTTCCTTGACAGTCTGGTGAAAGACTGAGAGTTGAGTTGACAGTGCTTCTCAACTCAAAGGCTTCCGTATACCTTGGACTGAAATATAATATCTCAACGCTAGATGGGACTAAAAACTACGTAGTGTCCATTAAGTGTACTTAATTTTGCTGACAGCAAATCCGGGTCCTATTGCACCAGCTGAACGTAGACTGGTCTTAAGTCTGAAAGTTACGTGTAGCTCAGAGATACGACTTGTGCAGCATCTGGACTACAGCCTTCCATACGCCTTGTGTGGAGCAGGCACAAGTCCAGAACCTTAGACTGACTGAGTGCTGATCCCATCATATTGTTTGCAGAAGCGGATTTAAATATAATAATGCATCCAGCTGGAGCTGTTACATTTGCAGATACAGATGTGTTGCTAAGATAGCATATGATTGGTCGATCCTCATATTGCTCTTATCTGGTTTTAAAAAGACAATATGAAAATATAAACAGCAGAATCACAGAGAGTGCTGAACAATAGGTGTTTAAAGCCCCAAATGGTGAGTGTGACACAGATAAAACTGAACTCTTACTTTTTACTCATGACCATAGGTGAGCGAGGGAACGAAGATTGACCGGTAAATCCAGAGCTTTGCCTTTCGGCTCAGCTCCCTCTTTACCGCAACGGTCCGATACAGCTCTGACTGCAGACGCTGCTCCCTCTTTACCGCAACGGTCCGATACAGCTCTGACT